TGACATTCATTTGTTAATTTTCAAATCCAGTGGTGCAGTGTACTTGATAATGCGTCCTGAACAGCAAGAATAGAGTCGAGTCACAAGTGCATTTTTTGCATTTTCGTGAATTGGTTCATTTCCGCTCTTCTTTCGCAGGAGACACCTCCAACCGTTTGTGAGGGAGGTGAGATTTTCGCTACTATTCCTTCCACTTATTAGTACTGAGATTTTTGTTAAATGTATGGGAACCTTACTTTTCAGCAGCCCTTCGGAATATGTATGTTCAGAGAAAATGCCATCAAACACGGAAAATAAATACGTACCATAGCGAAGAAAATTTCGTGAACTGAAATTAGTATCCTTAGCTCTCAAGGCTCTGAAGACAGTTTCAGTATGATGAAACATGCTTGTCATTCTTTGGATACTATTGCTTCGTTACATGCAGTACGTATTTAATTTTAGTAACTCCTAAGCATTAATTATATATACACGCTATATTCATGATGTAAAATTGGACTGTTTCGTGGAAACCAGTAGGTAGATTGATGAAGGATACTCCAGCTGAAATATAAGGCATTTGATGCTTCCCGAGGCAGCGCTAGATGTATGCGTTGGCAACACACTGCTCTTCTGACACAACTTACTTGGCTATTCTTTTGTCAGTTGCATTTCGTCAGCAATGTTGGATTAGGTAGTTCTGCTATCGGTTGTAAAAGGTTCATTTTCTATAGGAGTCTTTTATCGTGTGTTGAATAGACTGTGGTGCTGCCTTATGCCAGCTTGCCTATCCTTTTAGCAATACGCCATTTTAGTCCATATCGTATTTAAATTATTTCGAGGACCCAAGCTTCTATTCAGAAAAAAATGTTAATTAACTTTATGCAGCGTTTCAACACGTTTTATCCAAGGACTGTAGTAGTAATAGTGGAAGATGCTTTCAAAATTCTGTTTCGAAAGTTATTCTTGGTGAACCTAATCCTCGCAAGTTTCATCAAGGAAAAACAATCCTATCTTCTCTTCAATTAGATTAACAAATGTTTCTAATGCCATTTTTCTGAGGAACACTTCTTCCCTCTCTTCTCTGGACGATTTCATAACTTCTACAACGTACAGACGATTGGCTTCAAAGTGAAAAGTGCTGTGGGTATTTCTACGCATTGCTGAAAAATGGCGATGGTTTGGCGAGGACCGGGAATTACTACATACCAAAAAAGCAAGGCAGCCCAAAGGCTCAGGGCTTCACGTGTAATGTAGCTGACGTCGCCGCGGTCGCCAAACTCTACAGCGTCCTCACGGCCTGAAGAAATATTCTAAATCGCCGCGCTATGACAGCCCAAAGGCTACGGAATGGGTGTCTGTTCTCGCAGCTGACGTCACCGCAGTCTTCGATCGCAATTGTGTCATCAGGTCAGAGACCAATAATCTAATGTGCCGCGCTGTGGTATTCCAAAAGCTAAGAGAAGTGTGCTGCCGCTGCGATGATGGCATCAGGACTGGGTGTACTATCTTATGAGAGACGCAGCTCTAAGGCTACGGATTGAGCGTCTTGTCGCTTCACGTGACCGCAGAATTCGACTTCAATGGTGTCTTCAGAGCCGGGATCAATATTCTACGAGAGATCCTCTGACGCAGCCTCCAGACTACCGATTGAGTATCTGTTGTTGCTGCTGTCGTATCCGCAGCTTTTGGTGTATTCAGGGCCGAGAGCAACATCCTATGAGAGATCCTCTGACGCAGCCCTAAGACTACGAATTGAGTGACGGATTTTGCTGCTCACGTATCCACAGGTTTTGATGTCGTTGGTGTCATCAGCGCCGGGTGTAATATCCTACGAGAGACGCAGCTCTATGGCTACGGATTGAGTGTCTGTCGTTGCTGTTGTCGTACCTCCGCTTTTGATCTCGATGGAGTCGCCAGGACCGGGAGCAAGCGTCCTTCCGAGGCAGGCCCGAGGCCAGGAGCGCGCGCCTGGTGTTGCAGCTGACGTCGCAGCTGGCGCCGGGCGGGTGCATGGTGGTGCCGGTGGGCGTGGGCGCCGGCATGCAGCGCCTGAACGTGGTGCGGCGGGACGCGGACGGGCACGTGCGGCGCTCGCGCAAGGCGGGCGTGTCGTTCGTGCCGCTGACGGACCCGGACGAGCAGTGGGGGCCGAGCGACATGGGCCGGCGCCGCGCCACGCCCCCTCCGCGCCGCTCGCACCTCACCGCCATCGACGTCTCCGAGGAGGACGTGGACGTGCTGGTGGCGCGCGTGCAGGAGGGCAGCCAGCGCCAATCCGCGCGCGACCAATGACCGTTCGCCCGCCGGCTCCTCCAGGTGGCCCCGGGTTGCTTCTGTCCACCAGGACATCGCTCTTCGCACCGGCGGGGTGGTTGGTCCTGCCAGGTCTGCGCAGTCACTTGCTGTGAAGAACGCCGAAGTTGAAGTTATTTTGCGGAAGTGGTTTTCAGCTTAGTCACAATTAATGAGAAGTGGGCATAAGAATATGCGTCGGTTTATTTAATTGATTTTTTAACGAATGATTTATAATAAAATAATATAATTCTTGAATAAATAATGAAATCGAAATGTGAAAGTTATTTATTTTATCCGTGTATTATATCTCAGCCTCATGTCTACCTCTTGGTCAGCGTTCTGGCTTTCCTCTACGCGGCCCCGGATTCGATTCTCGGTCAGGCAAGATTATGGTGTGCGTTTCCCCAGCGATGCCCAAGTAAATGTTGCTGTGTGACGTTGAGAAAATTCACTTTTCAGGTTGAGATGGCCGGAATATGGCGTGAGGGTCTGCGTGCTAAGCCCACGTACCCACTTAACCCATGGCCGCGAGGCAGGAACGTTGCCGGAAGACCTGAGCCCGTTCACGGGCCGTCGCTCCAAGTACATTTATACGTACAGACGATGTATCTTAACGATTTATCATGTTATTTTCTAATATACTGAAGTGACAAAAGTCGTAGGCACCCCCAAGTACCCTTTTGCCCGGAGAAGTGCAGCAAATGGACGAAATGTGCACTCAACAAGTCGTTGGAACCCCCTTGCAGAAATATTGTGCCGTTCTGCCTCTAAAGCCGTCCATAATTGCGGAAGCGCTGCCGGTGCAGGATTTTGTACACGAACTGGCCTCTATGAAGGTTCTATGAGATTCATGTCGGGCAATCTGGGTGGCTAAATAATTCGCTCGAATTGTTCAGAATGTTCTTCAAACCAATCGTGAACATTTATGACACTATACTCTTTATGCATAAATAGTTTTCCTATGTAATAGTAAATTACTTCCTCTTAAACGCTGTATAGCCAGAATCCACGCTTTATGGGTCTTGAAACATCAATTGCCAGAAAAATGTCTGCCTGTCAGGTCAATCTGTCAAGCGAAGAGGTGCCGCCGAGAAGCAGCGAAATACGAGATGCGAAATAGGAGAACGCGTTTGCCTAAGAAGGAGGACTTCGTAAAAAATACTTCGAAATATCTACAGTTTTGTGTCTTACTTTACGCACAACCGTCTGAATGTTCCAAAAGACGGGAAATCATAAATGGAACTGCAGTGCAGTAACGAAGCGTTTCTCAAGAAGATGACGTAGGATACACTGCTTCAGAAATTTTAATTTTACTTAATATTTTTCTCACTCGCATAAAGCACTGAAGCTGGTGTTTAATAAGATTTACTATTATTTGTTTTGGCATTTGTGGTAGCCCTCAATTATAGCACGTGTAAATAATTTAGTAATATTTCTCTATTACGTTCGTTTTATATTTCATAATAAATTATGCAATCATCGAAAAATGTATCTTTGGTTCCATGACCTGGCAAATAAGAAAACAGATTTACTACACTCCTCCCGCTTTGAAATAGAAATTAGACTCAACTTCCCTAAGCAGGACAATTACCAAATCTGGACGGTTCATTTATTGTTGCCTATTATTGCATTCGTTTTATGTGCTTTTCTATAAATTTAACTCAAAAGAACCTTAAACACGGATTATGGGCCAAAAATATGAGATTGTATTGTTGAGATGTTTCCAATATTTTCCTCCTCGTCTGTAGTAGACGGAGAAAAATAAAAATTGGCACTTTTCACTCTGCGATATTCTGTTCCTTTCCTACTGTAAAGGTGTTCCTTCGTGCTTTTCAGAATGCAGAGGTGGTCGTCCGCAGCGCTCATTGCGTGTAAAATAGGAAGAAAAAATTAAAACAAAGTATCAGTGTCTCGATCTCAAACCCTAATTGGCTCTGTGACATCTTTGCTTTCCTTCATTTTAGGGCCGCACAGGGCGAGCCTACGCACAGAAAATTAAACTTTGTTGCCTTGTGATATCTCAGAAGTGTGATAGTGACGTATCATCTGAGATTTAATCACGACACCGCTGATAAGGCGTCTTGTACGAATCCGACCTCCATCAAGTCAGTGCATAGCTTTCGAAAGGCAGTCGCCATGACTCGGCACACATGCTTCTTCTTCGGCTGCTGGCCTGGACACGCGCAGCTCCCGGTGAGTGCGGCAGTCCCCGCCACTTCCTTCCTCCCCCTTCTGCTGTTTCGGTCTCATTCTCGGGCGAACTTTTATACTTGCGTTAACTCCATTGTTGCTTTTATGTAGTCAGTATTGGTTTCGCACAAGATACCATTCTCCTTTTAGAAAAACTACAGTGAACAAAACTGCTTAATTATTTGATATTTGAACGCCAACGCAATGCAAGACCTCCGAAATTGCGATTCTCTGCGGTTGGGATATTTCTTTCAGTTGAGAAAACTTTCTAACTCAAATAACATGGATATTTTATTATTGTTATTTCAAAAACAATTGCTTTGTACCTTTAGATAGCAGCGCACTGTGACCAGGGTATACAGTGGCCCCCATAAACATTAATGCCTCTGGGCGCGGAAAACACAAGTAAAATGCAAATTCTCGTGTAAACCCCAAAATGCAGCATTTTATTACAAATATATTATCAAATGTATAAACTAAAATTTTATTAGTATTATTAAAATTAAGTATTATTAAATTAAATATTACTAAAGATTATATTTCCAAGTTAAATATATGGAACTAAATGTCCGAGACAAGAAAAGTGATCCCATCAAAGTATTCGACATAAAAAGTACTAAGAAGAAAAATGGATCTAATTTCAAGATACTTGCTCATTGTAAGAATGGACCACTAGACAAAACTATAATTTTCGGCCCATAAACCTGAATTTGGAGTGGAGAGTGAAGAGCCCACAAATATTGCCAATTGTTCAAAATTTGTTGAACGTTACCAGTTTACCAAAAATTATGATCATGCAATGCTGTGTTTATACAATCTTTTTTCCTTGAATCCAGCGCTGCTCCCATTTTTCACGCGAAATCTCTGCTCAGACATTTTCTTGTAAAAAAATATTAGAAATTCACTTGGTACTCATGCCTCACACAGAATTTCCCTTGCACTGTCGTTGCCGATAACTGTACCCCGTGAACAACGATTCGTAGGGGGTTCATATATCGATTATTAAATACTGAATATAAACTAAACTTATTCAGTTACAAAGATGTAAACATACTATCGGGCATGTTACTTGTAAAATATGGACAAGGGAGGCTTGTGTAACCATTTATGGTTCTGCAAGAAATGCAAAACTCAAAGATATATTAAGTAAATTTGAATCATAAATATAATTCAAATTTAGATGATTGTTAAAGGACATTGAGTTTGTGTAAGAAAATGATTTCTTTTTAGAAAACATTGTTTGAAAATAAGTATCTGTGAAAGAACTTTGCAAATTGCAAAATCTGCAATGTGGGTTATAAAGTATGAAGATAAATGTATTGGCTTAGTTAAAAAGTACCTTTGAACTTGTTAAATGTTAAAAAAGGCCTGGTAGTATCATATACTGGAATAGTAGCCTACGGAACGTTTCAGGAGGAGCCAGTAAAGCCCGAGAAGCCGGCGAAACCTGAAAAACCTGAGAAGCGCCGAGGATCCCGAGAGCCGAGAAACCTTGAAAAAACTACTGAGAAGCCGTGAAACAACCTGAAGGAAGCCCGAGATCCCGAGAAAGCCGGAGAAGACCTGAAAAACTGAGAAGCCTGACAAACCCAGAGAACCCGGAGGAACCTGAAGAAACCAAAGAGCTGAAAACCCGGAGGAGTCCGAGGAAAGATAACCGGAAGTGCCGCGAAGAAGCCGGAAGTGCCGTAGGAGCGAAGTGCCGAGAGCGGAATGTGCCGAGGACCGAAGTGCCCGAGGAGCCGGAAGTGCCCGAGGAGCCGGAAGTGCCCGAGGAGCCTGAAGTGCCCGAGGAGCCGGAAGAGCCCGAAGAGCCGGAAGAGCCCGAGGAGCCGGAAGTTCCCGAGGTACCGGAAGAGCCAGAGGAGCCGTAGCAACCCCTGTCCCTACTCGTCTCGCATCTAACAAAATAAAGAGCCCGGGAAAATATGTACAAAAATGGGATAATATGTATTGTTCAGCATTTGCTCAGTGAATCGAGGAAAACGTGTACTTACTGGTACTCAACTCAAACTTTCAGACTGTAATATTTAATTACACAATACAAAAGAAAATTAGTGTACTAATATCATTGTCAAAATATGAATGTTCAGCTTTAATTTACGATAGAGTCGCTACTTGTAATGTAGTCCCACACACGTAGCGACTGACATTGGACACTTTTCACATGCGCTCAGTTCCGAAATCCACGTACCTGACAAACCTACTTCTGCAGTTTGCCGCTGCACACAAAATAACGAGAGGTATGAAACGTGCAAGGGCTTATTTTGACCGTAAATAACTCAAAGGAAACACTGGGTTTGAATTTTCACATTAATTTAACGTCAAAATCTTAAAGCTACTGTGTAGTCGACGTGTTGCTTTGACATGAGGTCGCCGGCCAGTCTTCTCTATCCACAAAGAGTTTCTGTCAGGAGCTAAAGCTTGTCCCGGCTGGGGCGATGAAGGGAGATACCTGGTTGGGGAAAACCACAAGCTGACGTCGGAACTAGCCAGGCCGCGGGTGAAGATCGCCGCCACCTCCCGCGATGAATTCATTCACTACACTTACGGGACTAACGACCATAGCAGTTGGTGCGCCTGGAATCGCCAATCAGCCAACCACAAGGGGCTTCCCCTTCGGCATCGCATTGTTAGTCGTGCGCGCCGTGTACCTGTCGGAATGCCTGGGGCGAGCGTCTTTTGTCTCGACTGCCTTTTGGCGGCGCTGAGTCGCGGGCGACGAATATGGCGATGGCGGTCACTCACCCTCCGCATTCACTCTGAAGATAGACATTTCTTATATAATGCAATATCTAACTGAATATTACATATTTAAATTATTTCGTGTTGAATTGTGAGAAATATTAGTAGTGTATGCGTAATTTTCAGTTACATAGTGGCGAACTTCAAATTCGTTCGAATCAGTAACTCATCATTTAATACTGATGCTGGATATTCCTATTTTTGCAATTATTTTCCCAAGTGTTCGAGTACAAAGTATACTCGATCACATTCATATACGACGATTTTACACTCTTTAAACTGGTTGAAACTAGTTAATTTTATTAACTTTTTCTTTCTAGTCAACCACTAAGTTATTATTTTAGAAGCATTGTATATAAGATGTATTATAATAAACTTGTTAAAGATAACAAGTAACTCATTATTACAAGGAGCTGCTCAGATCTTTGTACTGTACATTATACCTTACGAATGTAATGCCAACGTCTTATAGTTTATAACTGTATAGTTAATAACAATAAAATATAATACTCATGTTTCAAGGTACATGAATTATGAAATGTAATACTGATGTCTTATATGTAGTTGATTATTGGACCTTCCTAAGTAATACTCACGTTTCGCAGTTTATGTTATAATGCAATGTATCAATGCCTATTTTCGTAAAAGTGTGAAGTTACTCGTACGTTGAGCAGGGGAGCTACTTCATACATTCTATTTGTGAAGCTGTTCCACAACAATATGCAATATCTTAATTGTTCCACAGGAAACATGATTGTTTTATTTAATAAAAAACAACTGAAGAAACTGTAATTTCGTCCATGGTTCACTTTAAGATTGTTTAGATTGTCAAACCATGTCAATACTTTATTTCTATTTGCATTTGTGTAAATTGTCGGTAATGGTATTTTTACATTTCAAGAAATTATATCTTTTAAAGTACTTTTATTGCTTTGTATTAAAATGATTCTCTTCTAATGAATGTGGCATTTTGTTTTTGTATCCTGATAATTCCTTTTAGAGTTATTTTGTAGTTATGTTGTCATGAATCTCGTTTAGGTAGATAGGGCATTAACCTCATGTATAGTTCACATGCTTATTAGTTTTCGAGTTAATCGGAGGTAATAGTAAGTAATTTGCATTTTAAATGTTCTTCTTTTAGTAAATTGTAACATTTACAGTCATTTATTTTATTACATGACTAACACCTGGTACATTGTATCGTTTGTTTAATTTAGAATAGAAAATATGAATATCTCTTTTCAGCTGGCACACGCACATGACACACGCATGCATGATAGAGTTTCTGTCTAGCGACTAAAATAAAAAAGAGAGGCTCAGACCATCTTCATCGACATTTTGTGCACGAATATTAGCATTTGAATCGAAAATGGAGATAAGAAAGGAATAGAGCTGACGCTGCTCTAAATTGAATACTTATAAAAAAGAAATGTGTTGATGCGTTTCTTCCTTTTTTTTTGCGAGTGTCCTCCCTTTCACGTGGACAATGTTGGCGACCCTACTTGTAGCAGATATTCGACCACCACACTATTTCCAGGAAACTTTATCGTGATAAGATAACATGGCTATTCGTAAGATACTCTGTGACGGAATTCTGGAATAAATACATTGTAGATTGGAAGTTGGACTTTTTTCACTGTGTTACGCCACATTCCCGCGGCGCTGTCGGGTAGATAGGCAAATCAGTAGCATTACCAGTACTTATTCACAAATTGAATTATGTTTTGAAATATAATTAACAAAATTAGTTGAGTTGTTAATTACTCGAAAAAACAGCGGGTTCTAATCAGCTAGCTCTAAAATGAAAAGTTGATTTTATAGTAACTTTTTACTTTGTTTTGGCGTATATGGTTGCTGTCGGCATGAGTTGGTAAATGTGTTAATCTTGTAAAGAATAAGATAGTCAGTAATCATTCGTATTTCATCGATTTCAAGAAAAGAAGTTTCATATTTCGTGATTTTTTAAAATGTATTTTGTAAAATGTGCAAAACAGAGAGAAAGGGCCGGATGGTTCGTGTGAGAGGTGTGGGCAGGTCCGCCATGGCAAGCTGGATAGTGCATGCGAGGGAAACGAGCGTGGTGTGTACGGCGAGCGCATAATAGAGGATTGTGTAATGTATCGAAACATATTCAAATTGTACGCGGATTTTGTTTATATCATTTCTACACTTTTCGTACCATTGCAACGAATTCAAAGTTTTTATTTGATTTCGCGACACATCGTGCTGAAATAACTATGAAAATTACTTTCATCTGACTTACTTATTGATCCCGAACCCAAGAATACAAAACATTGCGGCAAATAAATACTCCGGCAGCCGATGGTAATGAATCAGCTAGTCCGCTGGTCAGCATAAACAAGAACAATTTTAGCAAGATCGGTGCGTTGCAAGGATGCTGCCGCGGGACTTTAGCCGAGTGTTGATAATGCGTTGGCGGAGCATTGCCGAGGCGTGAGATGGGTGTCGACGGGGCATTGGCGGGGCGTTGGCGAGGCGTTGGCGGGGCGTTGGTGGGGCGTTGGCGGGGTGTGGGATGGGCGTTGGTCGGGCGTTAATGGGAGGTGGGTGTTCGTTCGGTGAACGTTCGAGGGGGGTTGTCAGGGCGTTGGTGCGGCAGTGCTGAGCGTTGCCTGGGCTTTGATGGGGCGTTGTCAGGGCGCTGGCGGGCCGTGGGCTGGGCGATGCCGGGGTGTCGCAGAGGGCGCCGGAGGCGGCGGCGGCGGCGGGCTGGGGCGTCGCGGCGCGACGGACTGAGGATGTCGCGCAGGGTGTCCTACCCACGCACAAACAACGGCCTCATCAATTACTTGAAAGGTACCGCTATCGCAAGGTGTATCTATTTCAAGTAATTAAAAATTTTATTTTTAATAGACACTTTGTAGTAAACATTAATTCAACTATTTCTTCTCAAAAAGCAATTAGAGCAGGAATAGCACAAAGTTTACCACTTTTACCTTTATTTATTTACTAGGCTGTCCGGGTGACGCCGCGTCCATGGCGAAGGTGCCGACGTTTCGGTCGCCATTCTGTGACCTTCCTCAGGGCGTAATGCGATACGCCCTCAGGAAGGTCGCAGAATGGCGACCGAAACGTCGGCACCCTCGCCATGGACGTGGCAACACCCGGACAGCCTAGTAAATACTGACTCCGGCCGCGGAAGCCTACGCTCTCACTTACTATTTAATATTTTTATGTAAAACCTTCCAAACCTACCTTTTACTTCTGTTGCAGTCTTCGCAGATGATACATACAATGATTTCATCTCACAATAATATTAATACAGATCCTAGTATTATAATACTAAACGGACCAACCGACGAAGAATTTATATTAACTCTGACAAAACACAAGCAAACATTTTCACTCTTTGCAGACCCACTCAACCACCTCCTCTAATCATAAATAATTCCTCAAATCCTTGGCTTTAACAAAATATTCCAGTAAAATATTAGGACTATTTTTAGACTAAAAATTAACTAAAAAAATTAACTATGAATTAATGTAATAAATAAAACTTATCACAAAATTTAAAAATTATTTCCTCTAATAATAAATCTTAACTAAAAATAGAATGTGGTTTTCCAATTTATAAATCTATAATCCGTCCTTTTCTTACTTACGCTTGCCTAATTTGGCGTAATGCTTCTTCAACAAATCTGAACAAAATTTTTAAAAAATCTGACGAACAATTTTTAAAGCAGAAGGTTTATTTCAAACTCTCAAATTAATAGATAATTTCAAATAGAACCAATAAGATCTTATATCAAAATTGAATGTCAATTTCTTCAGTAAATTACCAAATTTACATCATTTAAAATATTTCAATTTTGGATTAAATTATAATAATAATTGAATTCGTTTTAGAATTCCAAAGGATATTTTTCATCCTCCTTTAATATTTAATTTTATCTTCAAAATTTTCATTATTAAACAATAATTTTATGCCTGAATTACATTTATCAAATTTAAATCAATGTAAAATACAAATTACCTTATGTAAACTGCTGACATCTTGCCTCTCTATTATTTTAATACCAAATTTGTGTTAAACACCGTGAAAAATTCTTGAAAGAATTGAACAAGAGCAAATATTTTTTTAAAAAACGCAACGCGATCATGCAGCATATAAACGGCCCACATTCCAACCACTGTGGCTGGGAAGTTTGGCTGATGATTTTTCCCCAACAAACTCCGAGCCGTCCACACGCCTGGCTCGAAATTGCGGGGAAGTGGTAGACGCTTCCGATATCTCGCGAAACCTTTCAGTTTTTTCAAGGAGTAAACAGAAGCTGTTTTAGGTACAAGATGAATGAGGTCTCTGTGGAAGAAGCAGAAATGTAGAATGAGAAATCTTCTACCTGCAATAAAGCTTTCATCCTTCGGACCGCGGCATACGAACATTGGAGAATCTAGCGGCGGCCGTTAACGGGTTGTTCCCCAGCCTCGAACCTCACTGCAGGCTCCAGCGAGCTATGACCGTTTATGTTCAGAGATATTACACCATACTTATTAACGAGTTGAGTACATTTGGTGTATGTTGGGATTTATGAGGAAAATTCTTGGTGGCAACTTGTGACTGAAAGAAAAATTGTCAACATAGAGAACTAGATATGCTGCAGCTTTATTTGATATGCATTGCCCTAAAACATTAGTGGACTTTTATTAAGTACAATCTGAGTGAAATACGTAACAAAGACACTTCATGTCTAGTTTAGAACAATGGGCTTTGAAGAAAAAATAATGAAGACCTTGATGCATTCCCCTATTCAGCAATAATGCACTTATGAGGTTTTGTGTCCATGTCTTGTGATAACTGGAAATTATCCCTCCTCTTTTTTAGCACATTGTATACATAGAAAGGATGACATTTGTTCAAGATGTATCAACATAGTTTGTGGCAAAAATCGAGATACAAGGAAAACAGTTGTTATTGAGAACTAACTGCGAGTAATGAAGGAAACGTGTGAGTAAAGGCGATATTTATTCATTGATGTTGGCGAGTTGAGAGCGTGTGCGTGAAGGGAGGGCGTGTGCGCGTGCAGAGCGCGGGGTGCTGCGCGACGCCGCCGTGGAGGCGGTGATGCGGCGCGTGGACCGCGCGCACTACGCCGACTTCAACCCTTACTTCGACTCCCCGCAGGACATCGGCTGCAACGCCACCATCAGCGCCCCGCACATGGTCAGCCCCGCTCGTCCCGCTCCTTTCGCGCCAGGTGCAAGGCACAAACCCAGATCACAAGCACACAGCAGGGTGGATCGGTGTTCCATTTACAAAGCCGAAGTAGCGGTATACCGAAATATTACTTGGATAAGCAATGTTACAGTGAATTCAATGGGATTAACAATTTACGTAGATCAGTTCTCTCTCCCCTCTTTCTCTCTCTCTCTCCTCTTTCTCTTTCCTCTCTCTTGCTCCTCTTCTTTCTTTCTCCCTTTCTCTCCTCTCTCTCATTCCTTTCTTTCTCTCTCTCCCCCCTTTCTCTGTCTTCCCTTTCTTTATTTTTTTTCTCTGTCTCTCCTTCTCTCTCTCTCTCTCTCTCCTCTTTCTCTCCCTCTCTCCAGGACTAGTGGGAGTGACGATGTTCTGTCTCGCGATGCGTTTTGTTTTCTGTACCTTGCCTTGCGTGCTTCTTGTAGCGTGCTTCGCTCTGTGTGCATCACGCTGTGTGGTTGGCGCTGTGTTATCCGTCTTGTGCGTCATCGTTTGTACTATGTGTTGTGTGCTTTATCTTGTGTGCTTCGTTTTTAATCTTGAAATTTACAAATATTTTAAATTAAAGTAAGTCAAATGTTGAACTATTTGCTACTAAAAATAATTATCTACTATGTAATATCTTAATACATCTGTAACAAGTATTGTATAATCTCTTGGCCAATGACCTCATCTTGATCAGGTATTTGTCCCGTTTCCCTGGTCCTTTGAGCAAATGCTGAGATGTCCCCTTGTTTTGCTTCTGGACAATAAAAATAAAAATAAATGTAACTTCACTCGCTGCTCCCAAGAAGAGTATACAATTGTACTCCCTCTAAATATATCTTATTTGACTCGTCATATACAATTGTAATTGTATATGTGACTCAATAAATATTATTATTATTATTATTATTATTATTATTATTATTTTGTGCACTTGCTCTTGTGTGCTTCTTGCTGTCTGTTTCGCGATGTGAGCTTCGTCTTGTGTACTACGCTTCCAGTACTTTGCCTTAACTGCTCCCTAACGTGTGCTTCGCGCTGGGTGCATCACGCAGTGTGATTCGCGTAGTGCACTTTCCCGTGTGTGCCCCATCATCCGTTCTTCTCGCTCTGATGTACTTCTTGATCCGCGTGCAGAGGACCAGGCGTGCGTGTGCATCACACAGTGTGATTCGCGCAGTTTGCTTCGTCATATTTCGCCTCATCTTGTGTGCTTCGCGCTCTGCTGTGCTCCGTTTTCTGAGTACCGTGCTTGCTTGCGTGTGCATCACAGAATGATTTGCGCTGTATATGCTTCGCCATGTATACCCCACTTTGCGTACTTTGCGCTCTGCCGTGCTTAGTGGTCCGTTTACTGAGAGGCGTGCGTGCGTGCGCGTGCAGCACGCGATCGCGCTGCAGCTGCTGGCGCCGGCGCTGCGGGACGGGGAGACGCGGCGCGCGCTGGACGTGGGCGCGGGCTCGGGCTACGTGACGGCGTGCATGGCGCTGCTGCAGGACGAGGCCGCGGACGCGGTGGCGGACGCCGGGCTGGTGGTGGGCGTGGAGCACATCGCGCAGCTCGCCGCCTTCGCCACCGCCAACCTGCGCCGCGACCAGCCCAAGCTGCTGCGCGACGGACGGGTGCAGGTCGTCGGTACGCGCAGCCACGCCCACGCCCACTACACCCACTTGCCTCGGACTCATCCCCTGCTATACTCGCGGTCAGAGGCACGGCGGAAGAGTGACTTAGATAGATTTATTAAAGTTCGCTTTGAGCTAATGCTCGGTGGCAAACATGATAACAATTAAAATTAGAATTACTAAACATTTTATACAATTACAATTGGGTTTACTATTAGAATTAGGGTGTCGATATAATAGTTTCAATTTATTTCTAGCTAACTCTAAATTCACTTCTAGTTTACATAACACTTCACTACACTACAAAACACTACACTACACTGCACTCCCCTTCACTACCCTACACTCCCTTCCCCACTTCACTTCACCCACCCACGCCAATGCCCACAGATGCTGCAGCCTACACACGTTGTCCTTCCACTTCTATCGCACCCTTCCCAGCGCATGGTCCACGGTGTGCTCCTTGCAAGCCCACGCACACTATATCGCACATCTCCTTTTCTGCACACGCCAACGCCCCCAAGCACCGCTCCGCCAACGCTCACCGGCTGGGGCGGGTCAAGTCATCAACTCATGATACTGCTGTGCCTCTGATTGGGAGGTCATAAGGTTCAAGTTCCCACGGTGGCAGGATTTTCGACATTACCTAGCTAGTTAAGCTGAGTTCAGCCTTTGTCTGGGGGAGAATTTTGGAGACTGATGGCTCTGATCGGTAGTTTGGCCTAGTTTTTCCGATCAATACGAGGTGAATGCTGGTGCAGTAACCTAAAAAACGGGCCAGTTTTCGAGTTTCGTGAACTTTTAAAAGGACGTTTCGCATCACACCGACGTGTTATCAATGATACTCGACCAAGGCAAACGTGCACTTCATCTACAATTTCGCTATTATTTTCGTAAACGTGGCAGAGGTAGGCGTTGGCTTGATTGATTGATTATTTCTGGCTTCCGGGCGCGTCAACGGCTAATGGCAATGGTCCCATAAGTGTAGTGCATGTGCGGACTTCTTCCACCGCTGGGTGGCGAACCTGTACGCACCTACACATTGGTAGGTTTCTCTGTACAGGTAGCTCCCACATGCAGAGAGAATGCGACGACCTCTACATTGTTCGGGTGATTTTTCAAAGAGACTCGTTTCGAGAGCAGTGAAAGTGAAAAGGCACGCAGTAATGCTTTTAAAACAAACGAGAGATTGCGTTCACCGTATCGTTCTACTAAAAGTCCTTTAGATGAGTGGAAATTTATGTTTCCTGAGAAAACAATTATATGTTTTACTCTTAATCCAGTTATTACCTCTACATCTGGTTACCATGCACACTTTGGTAAACGTAAGGGCGTCAGACACGGGGCAGGCAGTGTAATTCGAGTGTTGTCTAGATAATCTGATTCGCTTTCTTAACTGATGCCGAGGGTGTTTGGTGCTGCAGTGGGCGACGGCCGCTTGGGCTATGCCCGCGAGGCGCCGTTCGACGCCATCCACGTGGGCGCCGCGGCGCTGGAGCCCCCGTACGAGGTGAGCGTCGCAGAGGGTATGGGCTTTCACCTCATCCCTGCCTCCACCCCGTCCCTGCCTCCACCCCATCCCTGCCTTCACCCCATCCCTGCCTCCACCCCGTCCCTGCCTCCACCCCGTCCCTGCCTCCACCCCATCCCTGCCTCCACCGCTCTCTGCATCCGCATTATTTCGGCCACCTCCAGTCCGCATCCATCTCAAGTCTACTTCCGCTCGAACTGTCTTCACCGCCTCTCTCTCTCGTGTTTTCCTCCACCCCTTGCCTGCATCCATCTCTCGCTCGCTTTTGAAACTCACATCATGGGGTGTACAATCTTTATATAGTAAATAATTATACAGACAATGACAACTGGCAACTGCAGGTTGGGAAGCGGCTTTTTGCTTCGTCAAGCGTTTCCTTATCAAATGAGCCACGGGCAGACCGCGACCTCCTGGCAGGTACCCCCTCGTGTATGTCCGCGCCGGATGTCAAGTCATGGCGCAGAAACTGCCCCCTCCCGAGACATACACAACCTTAGGTGGCTCAGGGCATCAACTGATGTCTCTGCAGTGCCTCTAACGGGGTTTGAGGCCCGGCAGCTGCAGGAGTTTCGACACTGGCTAGACAGCTAGGTGGAATTCAACTGTTGTTTACCATGTATTTTCATATCAATACCAGCGAATGCCGCAGTAGAACAGTAACAAACGGGACACTAACCGCGCGCGACTTTTCTTTCCTCTTCCTTGTCTCATCCTCACTCCTTACAGTTAACCTTACAAGCATTACACCTCCACACTGCCAGGAGACCAGGCGGCAGCTTGAAGGTGGTCCCGGCTGGGGCGATGGCACGATGGAAGGAGATATCTTGTTGGGGAAAAAACTTGCAAACAGACTGGTAGGACGGGGACGGATCTCGCTTTCCAGCGGAGGAAGATCACAGCCATAACCCGCGATAAACACACATACTAAATTTACGGGAGTAATGGCCTTAACAGTTAAATCGCCAGGAATTACTAATCCATCAACCGAAACATAATTTGTCATAATGAGCCTAGCAACACGCAATAAGCCCCATCGCTGTGCGCAGCTGGAGGCGCAGCTGGCGGCGGGCGGGCGCATGGTGGTGCCGGTGGCCGAGGCCGGCGCGGGGGCGTCCGCAGGTCGGCAGCGGCTGCTGCTGGTGCAGGCGGCTCGGCGACGGCAGCCCCTGCGGCGCACGCGCAAGATGGCCGTGAACTTCGTGGCGGCTACGGACGCGGCGCGCCAGTGGGCGGGGGCCGGCCCGCCCCGCCCGCCCGCTCCGGCGCCCGCGCCCGCCCCGCGCGCCCGGCCGCGCCCCGCCCGCGCCGCGCCACGTCGCGCTCGTGCCCCTGGGCGACGCGCGCATAAGCCACGCCCCCCGCCCCCCCGCCGAGAGGACGAGCGCCCCCGCGGGGACCACGCCCCCGCCAGTGACCCCCCCCCGGTGCGCGTGGGACGGCGGCATTCAGCGCAAAAAATGGGAAATAAACAGTGGCAAATATGGGCGAATTTTCGATATTAACCCATTTAAGTCAGTTGGCCCAAAACTGGGAAATTCCGTACGGTTTTCTTATCTCATCTACAGGATGGACGTAAACTACATACGTATTAAAAATATTTTGTATTCTGTAATATTTATTTTAATTTATTTGAAACGCTATTTACACAATATTCGTTACATAAGAAAGCAAAATATAATTTTTAATCTCAATATAGGCACAGCTGTTGTCAACCAGCTTCCTCAATCTTTCACTGATACAAATGATTCTTTTCGGAAGGAAATTCAATGGGATGTTGGCCATTACCTCTTGCATCGGCGCCAACAAGTCCTCCAATGTGCGGGGTTTGGACTTCTACACCTCCTCTTTAATGTAACTCTTCAAGTACGAAATCACACGGACTACTACTTGCTGGCCATTCATGAGATCCACGCCTCCCAAGCCAACGTCCAGGAAATTAATGGTCCAACCATTCGCAAACCATTAGTGCAAAATTGCGTGGCATTAGTATTAAGCCAGAATTAATTTTCCATTTTCCATTCTTCGATCAGTTTTCGAATTTCAACTTCTGAACTTCATCGGAATCAATCAGATATAATCAACACTGATTTAATATTGGAGATGTTAAACAGGTTTGAAAATAAATTTGAACTTTTGTAATTTTCAAAATTTTAGAGATTTTAATGAAAATTGAAACTATATCATATTTATAAATGTACTTTCGTCTATTCGAGTCAAAGAACAAAGAAAAAGATTGAAACAATTTTAAAGAAAATGTTGAATATGTCATGCAATTTTATCTACCGTACACCTCAAAACCAAGAAACCTTAATAACCTCCGGCAGCACAACTATATATTATTATTGATATGTTAACCAAGTTTTATTTTAAACTTTCAAGTTTCTAGTCTGGCTGCCAGACACACCTATCCATACAAAGTGACATCCCAAAACGCGATTTCTAAGTACACAATTGCCTCGCCTCTGCCCCAATATTAACCACCTTTGAAGCGCCACTAATATATCTTAATTATGACGTGTGCGCGAATTGACAGCTCCAAAGAACCTCTAACACGGGTCTTACGACCGAAAATTTGATACAGTCTTGAGGTGTTTTCAATTATTCCCCCCCCCCTATTATTCGACTATAGGAAGAAAAATCGGTGATAAGTACATAATGTGGTGCTTTACGTTTTTATGTAAAAGAGGGCAGTAGGATTTTTTGCATTAGTTCCTTACAACAGACATGTATAGACCTTGGTAAATATAAAAAAAAATGTCGGTTATATTATTCAGAAACATGTTCAATTGTTTGTTCACAGTGAATTGTGGTTATTGTTTCATAATTTGTAAACGTCCCTTACTTCATTTGTCTTAGAGAATATATACTGCACAACATGACACAATTATTTGGGGATTTTCGACATTCCGAATAGTGAATATGTAGAACTTTTCTACAGCACTTTCTTAGGTTATGTGCGTTCGAAAAGGCTCAGATCGTTGAAATTTATTTTTGGAATATGCCCTACACTTCCAAGATTAAAACCAGTGATGTTTTCTCAATGCAATTTATCGCTCAATTGAATGGCGTTATGCAGAACGTGACCAACCCACAAAGATGTAAATATTAAACAATGGCACTCTTTAGTCAGCTAAGCTCCATTTCTTTGATTTTCACAATGCATCTAAGCGATGAGCTTTGTGCTTTGGAGGGAGGAAAATTAAACCACGTCTTACTGTTCTTACGTACACAAATAACCAATAATTGCCTCTGATATACATTTGATTAACTTTTGAAATACTAATGTGAATTGGATGTAAAAATACATCCCACATAACTCAACCGGCGTCCATCCTCGCTGCTCGAAATTTTAAGATACAACTTTCTAAATCATTTTCAACCACATTGATTCTTTTGAATTGGATTTTTTCTGCATAACTTCATTAAATTGTGGATCCTTAAAAGATGTCATTAATTGTTTCTTTAAAAAATACGTAATAACACTAAAAGGAGGAATAGTTGGATGCCCCAAATTCCCATTTTGTATTTACAGCTTACACTGACCTATTAGTCAAGAACGCCGTAACCAAAACATATAATAGTATGGCATTTATAGAAAACCGCCATTTCATTTTCCTAAATCATTTTCACTTCTTGTGAATAGTTATTTTTCACTACCCTTATGCAGTCTTTTAATTCTTCTCCCGTGTGGACAGATATTAAGAGAACTTAAGATATTGGAGAGATATTAAGGGAAGTAAAGAAATGTGTGAAACATAAATAATACGCAAATATGTTGTTTCAAAAACGATTTGGTAAATTACAATATACATTAAATTAATAAAACAAAAATTAATGCTTGGAGTGAGATTCTTAAAAAATATTCATTCTGAAAGCCGGCAACCTATGCCTGCTAAAAGAAATCATAGAATTGCTGGTCAAGATGTAATATTCAAGTAAGTTTCGAAAACCATATTGTATTACGTACTTTAATTTTTTAATAACACACTTTTATTATTTACTCGTTATTTACTATTTGTTTATGGTCCTGGAACACAACACTTAAAAGGTATTCGTAATACCCTAGTGGGCCTTCCAAATTCTCGCCCACACGGGCCTTTGGCGTACTTAATCCTCGCACAGCTACCATTAGAACAAATAGTATTCATTTTTTATGAATTCTATTTTTTACATTTTAGAAACATGAAAATACATTAAATAAATTGTATAATTCTCAAGTAAAAATACCTCGACATAAACATATTGTTGAATTAGTCCAAAAATTGCAATTTTGACCTTATTCCCGTGAATTTGAAATTTCAATCACTCACTCTCTTTCACTGTTACGAATTACTTTTCGTTTATTGTCATTTCTCGATTAATTGTACTACTTGTAGTAATATATGTAGAACACACAACGCTAACATTTTTGAAATATATTTTTTATGAAATGGTATCTTCTGAATACCTTTCGGCAATGGACACAACTTCCTAAAAGTATATTTTCATTTATGCATTTTACACTTATTTTCCTGTCACTTCTCAAATACGCATACTCATTTTCGTATATTGGTTAATGTGGAGAATAAGGCGGCCATCCCCACCAACACCATCTGTAGATCCAGTGGTTCTCCAAGGTCTTCTGTAGACCTAACTAGAGCAACTCACTTACATTGTAATGTAATTTTTTTTTAAATAGAAGAAACGATGCTTAATAAGGTAGGTATTTACAAACGTTAAAATCATAAGAACTATTCAGACATTTCCGTGAAACATTCATAAGCATTATCTACCCACCAAATGAACTAACAAGCGACATTTTCTATATTTTAACAAACAAGGCCCAAATCTGAAGATTCATTTTCCTGTCAATATGTCTTCCTAGGCAATTTTGTAACCAAAGCCATTTTATAACCAACGCATTTTGACTCCAAGTGGCCCACGGCGGATCGAATGTACGGCGTTCGTGAGGGCCTTCCGACGCTCGCTCTCCCGTCCAGGTTTGCGCCTTTGCGCTCTATTCGGCGCTCACGTTATTTAATGAAGTTCACTCGCTTTTACGATATTTTCATTTAACGAGAATACTGATTTGCACTGCCACTACCGCACTTACTACAATAAATGTACATTTGCTCCACAAGTCATCATGAACAATTTCAAACGTATAACGCTTTCCTTGTAACGCATTTCTGTAGTTATTAATCGCGCGACTTTTCTTGAACGACGACCTTGCCCCTCTCTGGCACAATAAACAGTTGAAGGCTCAGCACTGATGGCAACATTCCTAAAACATCGTCACTGGTGTGAAATAGAAACTATTTTCTGTTGGAGATGAGAACCTCTGTTCGTGATTTTCTCCAAAAAATAAAGAAATGGCCGAAGCAGATGAAGATCCATCACAGGAAATATCTCGATCACGTGAAAAAGTTAGAACGCACGTTATTGAGAAAGTTGCAAAGGCATGGCTGATTGGTATTGCTTCATAAAATCTAGTGGCCAATTTTGTAACTAATACCCCCACTCTACCCACATTTCCTCAGTCCATCGTTTCTAAAACACGTGAGTAATCCTTGTGTATTTCGAAGCAGGCCTTGGCGCGCTGTTAAGGTAGGTCGGGTGCCGGAGGGGAGAGCGCTATTCTCAATTTCCATTTATATATTTCCCGAGATTATACTGGAAACTAACTGCCGTTAGTTTTGTTAGTATTTTCGAGTATTTCCGTAGAAACTTTAGAATATGAGTTTTGTTCGACCAAATTTCTCCAATTACGAGTATGCAATAGCACGATGTAAGAAATATATCTAACACCGTGGCAATAGCAATTAGAAACGCACTCTGTTCTGGTTATGTGACATCATATTAACAGCTGACGATTAGAATGTGTCTTTTCACTTTTGATCAACGAGCTAGAATATACTGTATAGAGTGGCTATCCTTCTAGTGTTCTTGTTGGAGGAACGCCGAACTAGTGGCCGCCATGTTTTTTGAAGTCAAAACATATGAGTGGCGGCGTATTCAACTGCTATACTGAATCGACATTGTGGTGTTGTTCGTATCTCAACTTATTTCTTTGTTTTTCGTTTGACGGCATTAAAATATCTATTAGCAATAACATTTAAGGTTTATGCTAACTACAATAACATTCCATTCGAATGACCATAATCAATGCAGGAAGCAACAGATATTTAGAGTTTCTCAGTTCGTTCTCTTAAAATATTGTCATTCCGTTTTTAAATGATTAGTTTTCGATCGTGATCGGTTTTTGAGAAAACACAATTAGAGGCGGTCCGCGCCTACCCGACCATAACCAGCACCAAAAGTAATGCTAGAATACTTTGTTTCCCAGGAGCGCTGCTTTGACGGCAAAAAACATGACTTCAATTTGCTTCAAAGATGGAGGCGCTTCAGCCACTCTATGTAGTATATTCTAGCTCGTTGCTTTTTTATGCAAGACAAATTTAAAGATGATTCAAATTCTCTTTCGATTGAGAAACTAACAAGCAAATCATATGTTTTGTATATACTAAGGGCGTTACTGATTGAACATGCCCCTCGGGCGACTTCTAACCCTTCCGGCCGGAGACCTAAATACGTAACTATTATGTTGAAAGTGATCTTCATTAGTACACAATATCTGAGACTTCGAAATATGAAATGTATCCCTTTTGTTATCGGCAATATCAATGGATTGTCTCATGAAATTTCTTTCACTTCATTTAGAGTGTGTTTCATTTTACATGCCATTTGCGTTATTCGCTTTATTACTATACATCACAGCTTCATCAACTCATTAGTTGTGATTTAACTTCCTAAAATGATTAAAAACCATCCCAAACACAAATTGAACTATGGTAAAAATATTTTACTATGAACATATTGCATTTTACAATGAAATTTATTTACTATAAACATCAACATTCCTTGTTTTCTTTCACTCGGCTCATTTGAGAAAAACAGTGGGTCCATCACCACAACTCATCTTTTACCATTTGAAATAACATTACATT